CCACTTCCACCCCCTCTCTACCCCCCACTACCACCCCCCTCTCTACACCCATTTCCACCCCCTCCCTACCCCCAATTCCACCCCCTCTCTACCCCCACTTCCACCCCCTCTCTACCCCCACTTCCACCCCCTCTCTACCCCCACGTCCACCCCCTCTCTACCCCCACTTCCACCCCTCTCTACCCCCACTACCACCCCCCTCTCTACCCCCACTTCCACCCCATCTCTACCCCCACTTCCACCCCCTCTCTACCCCCACTTCCACCCCCTCTCTACCCCCACTTCCACCCCCTCTCTACCCCCACTTCCACCCCCTCTCTACCCCCACTACCACCCCCCTCTCTACCCCCACTTCCACCCCCTCTCTACCCCCCCTTCCACCCCCTCTCTACCCCCACTTCCACCCCCTCTCTACCCCCACTTCCACCCCCTCTCTACCCCCCACTACCACCCCCTCTCTACCCCCACTACAATTCTGCCCAGCCCCTACCATGACCACACCCACCCCCCCTACCATGACCACACCCACCCCCCCTACCATGACCACACCCACCCCCCCTACCATGACCACACCCACCCCCCCTACCATGACCACACACCCCCCCCCCTACCATGACCACACACCCTTACCATGACCACACCCCCCCCCTACCATGACCACACCCCCTCTACCATGACCACACCCCCTCTACCATGACCACACACCCCCCTACCATGACCACACACCCTTACCATGACCACACCCCCCCTACCATGACCACACACCCTTACCATGACCACACCCCCCCCTACCATGACCACACCCCCTCTACCATGACCACACCCCCCCCCCTACCATGACCACACCCCCTCTACCATGACCACACCCCCCCTACCATGACCATACCCCCCTACCATGACCACGCCCACCTGGAAGTCAACAGTCTGGAAATGTGTGAGTGTCGTGGTGGTTGGGGAAGAAACTCTTCCCTCGGGAAGAATCTTTTTTTCCCCTCTTCCAGCTCCGTCCAGGCAAATAAGTGTGTCGTTAATGAGCGCCCCGCTTGTTGGCGTAACTTAAGGGGGGGGGGCGTGGGGGGCGGTGATTAATGGTAGGGGGAGGGGGGCGGTAGTTAATGGTGGGGGGGGTGAGGAATCTTGTTTATAAGGCTTGCGGTATAGAGAAATTTTTGTTGCTGAAATCAGTTTTTTTACGTGTATTTCAGCATATATGGAAGTGTATAGATGAGTACTGTGTGTCATTCATATACACTCCGATGCTTCCACTCATGTTGGTCCACTCATAAGGCCATTTTATTTATTATTATTTATTTATGTGTACGGATATATATTCATATATACGCAGTTCTTTCAAGTATTGGGGAAGGATTTCTGGTCAGTATATCATCTGGGAATTATGTACTGTGGGGCGGGGGTTTTCATCTAGTAAATAGAGGCTCTTGGGCCACCAGCTGTGGGAGCGGGGCGTCTCATCTTGGACCACCAGCTGTGGGAGTGGGGCGTCTTATCTTGGGCCACCAGCTGTGGGAGTGGGGCGTCTCATCTTGGGCCACCAGCTGTGGGAGTGGGGCGTCTCATCTTGGGCCACCAGCTGTGGGAGTGGGGCGTCTCATCTTGGGCCACCAGCTGTGGGAGTGGGGCGTCTTATCTTGGGCCACCAGCTGTGGGAGTGGGGGCGTCTCATCTTGGGCCACCAGCTGTGGGAGTGGGGCGTCTCATCTTGGGCCACCAGCTGTGGGAGTGGGGCGTCTCATCTTGGACCACCAGCTGTGGGAGTGGGGCGTCTCATCTTGGGCCACCAGCTGTGGGAGTGGGGCGTCTCATCTTGGGCCACCAGCTGAGGGAGTGGGGCGTCTCATCTTGGACCACCAGCTGTGGGAGTGGGGCGTCTCATCTTGGGCCACCAGCTGTGGGAGTGGGGCGTCTTATCTTGGGCCACCAGCTGTGGGAGTGGGGCGTCTCATCTTGGGCCACCAGCTGTGGGAGTGGGGCGTCTCATCTTGGGCCACCAGCTGTGGGAGTGGGGCGTCTCATCTTGGGCCACCAGCTGTGGGAGTGGGGCGTCTCATCTTGGGCTACCAGCTGTGGGAGTGGGGCGCCTCATCTTGGGCCACCAGCTGTGGGAGTGGGGCGGCTTATCTTGGGCCACCAGCTGTGGGAGTGGGGCGTCTCATCTTGGGCCACCAGCTGTGGGAGTGGGGCGTCTCATCTTGGGCTACCAGCTGTGGGAGTGGGGCGTCTCATCTTGGCCACCAGCTGTGGGAGTGGGGCGTCTCATCTTGGGCCACCAGCTGTGGGAGTGGGGCGTCTCATCTTGGGCCACCAGCTGAGGGAGTGGGGCGTCTCATCTTGGACCACCAGCTGTCGGAGTGGGGCGTCTCATCTTGGGCCAGCAGCTGTGGGAGTGGGGGCGTCTCATCTTGGACCACCAGCTGTGGGAGTGGGGCGTCTCATCTTGGGCCACCAGCTGTGGGAGTGGGGCGTCTCATCTTGGGCCACCAGCTGAGGGAGTGGGGCGTCTCATCTTGGACCACCAGCTGTGGGAGTGGGGCGTCTCATCTTGGGCCACCAGCTGTGGGAGCGGGGCGTCTCATCTTGGAGTAATGTTTCTAACATTGGGTCCTCTAACATCAGGATGGTGTTCCACACCCTGATGGCTTGGTGCTGTAGTCTGATGTTTAGTGGCTGTGTGTTCAGGAGTTCCTGGAGCTCCTGGATTGTCTGGTCACATGGTGGACGGTGTTTGGCTGCTCTCTTAGTGCCATATTCTCCACTGCTTGTAGTGACCAGTCATGTGAGGCACTAGTGTGGCCCCCACCCCCCCTCCCCGCAGGGGTGATAGGTTCATGCCACCCCCCCCCTACTCCCCGCGGGGGGGGGGGTGAGGACCCCTGTGGGAGCGTCGTGGCCTCTCCACATAACGAGCTCTTGAATTAACGACCACTCCAGACAAAGGCCTCTTTTTCTGAAGGAGCTCTCAAGCGTGCCTCCAATGGCATGGCAGTGAAGAGCACTGCTCCTCGAAGTGGCCGGGCCTTTTGGAGTCCGGAGCGCTCTTCACTTGTTCCAGGGGGCTTGAGCCGGGCTCCCGGGGGCTCCTTCACTCGCTCCTCCAGTCCTCCTCCACTCTCACAACCTCCTCCAGTATTTTTCATGGACTTGATGCTTATTATTCGAGGGTGGACTCGAGGGGGACGTGACGGCGCTAACACTCGAGACTTTCTCAACGCGGAGGCACTCCAGGTGATGGTAAGGGCCTCAGGCAGGAGCTGGATGCCTTCCAGGGCCCTCGGGCTTGGTACACCCCCATTCAGGGGCCACGGGTGGGCTTGGGTCAAGGTAGGGGCTCCCAATGGTGGCTACCCACACCAGGGGTTCTGTGGGCAGGGGGCTACCCACACCAGGGGTTCTGTGGGCAGGGGGCTACCCACACCAGGGGTTCTATGGGCAGGGGCTACCCACACCAGGGGTACCCGCACCAGGGGTTCTGTGGGCAGGTGGCTACCCACACCAGGGGTTCTGTGGGCAGGGGGCTACCCACACCAGGGGTTCTATGGGCAGGGGGTTACCCGCACCAGGGGTTCTATGGGCAGGTGGCTGCCCACACCAGGGGTTCTGTGGGCAGGGGGCTACCCACACCAGGGGTTCTGTGGGCAGGTGGCTACCCACACCAGGGGTTCCGTGGGCAGGTGGCTACCAACACCAGGGGTTGTGTGGGCAGGTGGCTACCCACACCAGGGGTTCTGTGGGCAGGGGGCTACCCGCACCAGGGGTTCTGTGGGCAGGTGGCTACCCGCACCAGGGGTTGTGTGGGCAGGTGGCTACCCGCACCAGGGGTTGTGTGGGCAGGTGGCTACCCACACCAGGGGTTGTGTGGGCCTATTGCCAGGAAACAGAAAGCTTCAGGTGGTTCAGGTGTTCAGCCTGGGTGTCTTGCACAACTTGGTGGCTGAACCGAAGAGTATTTTGATGCATAGTTGTAACAAGGTTGTGTTATGGTGAGGTGTTTGTGTTGTGGATGGTGAGGCATCACTCTCACTGATTGTCCTGTCTACTCTCTTCTGCCTGCCCCCACATCACCCACCCTCTCTCTCTCTCTCGCTGTCTCTCTCGCGCTCTCTCCACCGGTTGATTGACAGTTGAGAGGCGGGACCAAAGAGCCAAAGCTCAACCCCCGCAAGCACAAATAGGCGAGTACACTCACTCACACATCCTGATCCTGTGAGTAATAGTTTAATGTGGACTCATACTCATCTTGTGAGTGTTATGTTATTGTGCACCCCATACTCATCTTGTGAGCGGTAGCGCAAGAAAGATGAGAGAGAGCACAAAAGGTCTTCATCAGCCCTCGAGGCAGATACTGACGTTTGAGGTTTGGTTCACTATAAACAAGATTGATCTGCCGTGTAAACATTAAAGTCGGTTGTTATTTTACTGACAATTGCCAGCAATATTTAGATGGAGTTATTTTGTGTATTATACGATAAATATAATCATCTTAATCCCTGTTTAGATTATCTTTTTGTTTAAATAATTTTAGACATTTTATTTTTCATGTGTTATAAATAATGGTCCTCTGGCGGTGCGTTAAAATTTTAAATTGTTAAATTAATGAGTAATTATTTTTAATGGCTATTCAATTCTGAGGCAAGAATTAAGAATTGTTTTAGTCAATAATAGCTTCTTGAAGCTTCTTGAAGCTTCTTGAAGCTTTTGAAGCTTCTTGAAGCTTCTTGAAGCTTTTGAAGCTTCTTGAAGCTTTTGAAGCTTTTGAAGCTTTTGAAGCTTCTTGAAGCTTTTGAAGCTTCTTGAAGCTTTTGAAGCTTTTGAAGCTTCTTGAAGCTTTTGAAGCTTCTTGAAGCTTCTTGAAGCTTTTGAAGCTTGTTAAGCGTGAGGAAGTTTAGCTTTTTGTGGATATAGTTAAGAATTGTTTTGAGGTGAATGAACTAACAATATATTCTCTCTCTCCCCCTTGGTCGTTCCGGCGTCTCTCCACACAGCAGAAAGACATGTGAGTATTGCTGGGCCGAGCCTCAGCTCCTGGGCCCTGGTTTGTGAAGGGAGGTGTGGGGGGGGGGTGTTTGACCATAGGGTAGGCGAGGGGTAAGGTCAGTGTGGGGGGGGGGGAGTATGTTGCCTTAATGAGTTATGTTGATATGTTGGGAGGTCCTTTCTCTCCCTCTCTCTCCCTCATTCTCATCTCTCTCTCCCTCATTCTCATCTCTCTCTCCCTCATTCTCATCTCTCTCTCCCTCATTCTCATCTCTCTCTCCCTCATTCTCATCTCTCTCTCCCTCATTCTCATCTCTCTCTCCCTCATTCTCATCTCTCTCCCTCATTCTCATCTCTCTCTCCCTCATAATCATCTCTCTCTCTCTCATTCACCTCCCCCCCCCTAATAGACTGTCTCTCTCTGCTATTGTTATAACATAGAACTTGTGCGGAAATGGAGTAAACTGGTAAGTGGCTGACAGCCAGTTTGAGCGCTGCTGACAGCCAGTTTGAGCGCTGCTGACAGCCAGTTTGAGCGCTGTTGACAGCCAGTTTAAGCGCTGATGACAGCCAGTTTGAGCGCTGCTGACAGCCAGTTTGAGCGCTGCTGACAGCCAGTTTGAGCGCTGCTGACAGCCAGTTTAAGCGCTGCTGGCAGCAGGTTTAAGCGCTGCTGACAGCCAGTTTAAGCGCTGCTGGCAGCAGGTTTAAGCGCTGCTGACATCCAGTTTGAGCGCTGTTGACAGCCAGTTTAAGCGCTGCTGACAGCCAGTTTAAGCGCTGCTGACAGCCAGTTTGAGCGCTGCTGACAGCCAGTTTGAGCGCTGTTGACAGCCAGTTTAAGCGCTGATGACAGCCAGTTTGAGCGCTGCTGACAGCCAGTTTGAGCGCTGCTGACAGCCAGTTTGAGCGCTGATGACAGCCAGTTTGAGCGCTGCTGACAGCCAGTTTGAGCGCTGATGACAGCCAGTTTGAGCGCTGCTGACAGCCAGTTTGAGCGCTGTTCACAGCCAGTTTAAGCGCTGCTGACAGCCAGTTTAAGCGCTGCTGACAGCCAGTTTAAGCGCTGATGACAGCCAGTTTGAGCGCTGCTGACAGCCAGTTTAAGCGCTGCTGGCAGCAGGTTTAAGCGCTGCTGACAGCCAGTTTAAGCGCTGCTGGCAGCAGGTTTAAGCGCTGCTGACATCCAGTTTGAGCGCTGTTGACAGCCAGTTTAAGCGCTGCTGACAGCCAGTTTAAGCGCTGCTGACAGCCAGTTTAAGCGCTGCTGACAGCCAGTTTAAGCGCTGCTGACAGCCAGTTTAAGCGCTGCTGACAGCCAGTTTAAGCGCTGCTGACAGCCAGTTTGAGCGCTGTTGACAGCCAGTTTAAGCGCTGCTGACAGCCAGTTTAAGCGCTGCTGGCAGCAGGTTTAAGCGCTGCTGACAGCCAGTTTAAGCGCTGCTGGCAGCAGGTTTAAGCGCTGCTGACAGCCAGTTTGAGCGCTGTTGACAGCCAGTTTAAGCGCTGCTGGCAGCAGGTTTAAGCGCTGCTGACAGCCAGTTTGAGCGCTGTTGACCGCCAGTTTAAGCGCTGCTGACAGCCAGTTTAAGGGGGTGGCCTCCTTCCCCCATTTTCCTGGTTTGAGTTCATGTTTGAGACTCGGATACAACTCCAAAGGGTTAGCTTGTCCTCCCTCCACTGGTTAGGTTGTTGCTAGGTCAACTTTTGAAGGGTTGTTAGTTCTTAAATGACCTCTATTGGTAGGGGTTGTGGCAACGCTGGGGGCTGGGGTGTGGTGGTGCCAGGGTTGTGGCAACACTGGGGGCTGGGGGTGCCAGGGTTGTGGCAACACTGGGGGCTGGGGTGCCAGGGTTGTGGCAACACTGGAGGCTGGGGTGTGGGGGTGCCAGGGTTGTGGCAACACTGGGGGCTGGGATGCCAGGGTTGTGGCAACACTGGGGGCTGGGGTGTGGTGGTGCCAGGGTTGTGGCAACACTGGAGGCTGGGGTGTGGTGGTGCCAGGGTTGTGGCAACACTGGAGGCTGGGGTGTGGTGGTGCCAGGGTTGTGGCAACACTGGGGGCTGGAGTGTGGTGGTGCCAGGGTTGTGGCAACACTGGGGGCTGGGGTGCCAGGGTTGTGGCAACACTGGGGGCTGGGGTGGCCTCGTAGCCTGGTGGATAGCGCGCAGGACTCGTAATTCTGTGGCGCGGGATCGATTCCCGCACGAGGCAGAAACAAATGGGCAAAGTTTCTTTCACCCTGAATGCCCCTGTTACCTAGCAGTAAATAGGTACCTGGGAGTTAGTCAGCTGTCACGGGCTGCTTCCTGGGGGTGGAGGCCTGGTCGAGGACCGGGCCGCGGGGACACTAAAAGCCCCGAAATCATCTCAAGATACTATATAGTGGGGTGTGGTGGTGCCAGGGTTGTGGCAACACTGGGGGCTGGGGTGTGGTGGTGCCAGGGTTGTGGCAACACCGGAGGCTGGGGTGTGGTGGTGCCAGGGTTGTGGCAACACTGGGGGCTGGGGTGTGGTGGTGCCAGGGTTGTGGCAACACTGGGGGCTGGGGTGTGGTGGTGCCAGGGTTGTGGCAACACTGGGGGCTGGGGTGTGGTGGTGCCAGGGTTGTGGCAACACCGGAGGCTGGGGTGTGGTGGTGCCATGGTTGTGGCAACACTGGGGACTGGGGTGCCAGGATTGTGGCAACACTGGGGGCTGGGGTGTGGTGGTGCCAGGGTTGTGGCAACACTGGGGGCTGGGGGGTGGTGGTGCCAGGGTTGTGGCAACACTGGAGGCTGGGGTGTGGTGGTGCCAGAGTTGTGGCAACACTGGGGGCTGGGGTGTGGTGGTGCCAGGGTTGTGGCAACACTGGGGGCTGGGGTGTGGTGGTGCCATGGTTGTGGCAACACTGGGGGCTGGAGTGTGGTGGTGCCATGGTTGTGGCAACACTGGGGACTGGGGTGCCAGGATTGTGGCAACACTGGGGGCTGGGGTGTGGTGGTGCCAGGGTTGTGGCAACACTGGGGGCTGGGGGGTGGTGGTGCCAGGGTTGTGGCAACACTGGAGGCTGGGGTGTGGTGGTGCCAGGGTTGTGGCAACACTGGGGGCTGGGGTGTGGTGGTGCCAGGGTTGTGGCAACACTGGGGGCTGGGGTGTGGTGGTGCCAGGGTTGTGGCAACACTGGGGGCTGGGGTGTGGTGGTGCCAGGGTTGTGGCAACACTGGGGGCTAGGGTGTGGTGGTGCCAGGGTTGTGGCAACACTGGGGCTGGGGTGTGGTGGTGCCAGGGTTGTGGCAACACTGGGGGCTGGGGTGTGGTGGTGCCAGGGTTGTGGCAACACTGGGGGCTGGGGTGTGGTGGTGCCAGGGTTGTGGCAACACTGGGGGCTGGGGTGTGGTGGTGCCAGGGTTGTGGCAACACTGGGGGCTGGGGTGTGGTGGTGTCAGGGTTGTGGAAACACTGGGGGCTGGGGTGTGGGGGTGCCAGGGTTGTGGCAACACTGGGGGCTGGGGTGCCAGGGTTGTGGCAACACTGGAGGCTGGGGTGTGGTGGTGCCAGGGTTGTGGCAACACTGGGGGCTGGGGTGTGGTGGTGCCAGGGTTGTGGCAACACTGGGGGCTGGGGTGTGGTGGTGCCAGGGTTGTGGCAACACTGGAGGCTGGGGTGTGGGGGTGCCAGGGTTGTGGCAACACTGGGGGCTGCGGTGTGGTGGTGCCAGGGTTGTGGCAACACTGGGGGCTGGGGTTTGGTGGTGTCAGGGTTGTGGCAACACTGGAGGCTGGGTGTGGTGGTGCCAGGGTTGTGGCAACACTGGGGGCTGGGGTGTGGTGGTACCAGGGTTGTGGCAACACTGGAGGCTGGGGTGTGGGGGTGCCAGGGTTGTGACAACACTGGGGCTGGGGTGTGGGGGTGCCAGGGTTGTGGTTCCACTGGGGACTGGGTGCCAGGTTTTGTGGCAACACTGGGGGCTGGGGTGCCAGGTTTTGTGGCAACACTGGGGGCTGGGGTGCCAGGGTTGTGGCAACACTGGGGGCTGGGGTGCCAGGGTTGTGGCACCACTGGCATGGACAGCCGGGGGTGCCACACTCTATTCATCACTGGAATTGAATCCCAACACAATTACTGGTGGCACAACCTCCCCCCCCACACACACATGGTAATTACTCCCCTCCCCTTACCCCCCCCCCCTGTCACCTAGCAATGGTTTGGCCCCCCCCGCCCCCCCCTCTCTTCCCCCCACCCCCTCCCCACGATGGGGAAGGGAACTAACAGGAGAAAGGGCCAAGGCATTACGACTATATAGCATTTGGAAGGGGTCAGGATAAGGATTTGGGATGGGACGGCTGGAGGGAATGGCGCCCAACCACTTATGGACGGTCGGGGATTGAACGCCGACCTGCATGAAGCGTCGCCCTACCGTCCAGCCCACGTGGCATGTGCCTCATGATGGGAAATGTCTCCTCTCTCATCTTGGGTTGACCGCCGAAGATGTGTAACTTAGTCTCATGCTTCCGGAAGTGAGGCTCGGGCGGGGTGAGAACTGTTATGTTGAGGAATGGCCCTGTCAGCCAGTCGGGGACTCAGACGCCGTATACTCAGCCTCCTTAGTTCGCTAATTGTCTAATTGGTGAGGTGAGTCTTTAATTGAGGCACTTTAGATAAAATGGCCGGGTAATTGTGTGTGGCACTCGGCCGCCCATTACCTGTACAACCTTGCTGTCAATAATCAGTGGGAGCCTGCTGAGATTGGCGGGGTAGGGGGTGTGTGGGGGGAGAGTGTGGGGTGATGGTGGGGGAGAGTGTGGGGGTGATGGGGGAGAGTGTGGGGGTGGTGGAGGGTGGTGAAGTGTGTGGGGGTGGTGGAGAATGTTGGGGTGATGGGGTGGTGTGGGGGGGGGGGGTGGAGAGTGGGGGGGGGGGAATGAAAGTGAGGGAATTATCAGGAGAAAATTCTATACAGCACTTGTGAGAGGGGTACGACCACAAGGACGAGGGGATGGAATGGCGCCCAATCACTTGGACGGTCGGGGATTGAACTCCGACCTGCACGATGCACACAGTTAAGCTTGTAATAACACACACTATAGCTGACTTACGACTCGTTACTTAGAGGGTGACGGGTATTACTTGGAGGCCCTCAGTCGCGTCCTCCAGATCAACTCGAGTGCTACTTAAGGAACGCCCTCGTACACACACAAGCCCTCAAGGGCCAGCCCTTACTTGAATGTCACTCTAGGGGACGACCATGGACCACCACTCTAGGGGCGACCATGGACCACTACTCTAGGGGACGACCATGGACCACCACTCTAGGGACGACCATGGACCACCACTCTAGGGACGACCATGGTCAACCACTCTAGGGACGACCATGGTCAACCACTCTAGGGACGACCATGGTCAACCACTCTAGGGACGACCATGGTCCACCACTCTAGGGACGACCATGGACCACCACTCTAGGGGACGACCATGGTCCACCACTCTAGGGACGACCATGGTCCACCACTCTAGGGACGACCATGGTCCACCACTCTAGGGACGACCATGGTCCACCACTCTAGGGACGACCATGGACCACCACTCTAGGGACGACCATGGACCACCACTCTAGGGACGACCATGGACCACCACTCTAGGGACGACCATGGTCCACCACTCTAGGGATGACCATGGACCACCACTCTAGGGACGACCATGGACCACCACTCTAGGGACGACCATGGACCACCACTCTAGGGACGACCATGGACCACCACTCTAGGGACGACCATGGACCACCACTCTAGGGACGACCATGGTCCACCACTCTAGGGACGACCATGGTCCACCACTCTAGGGGACGACCATAGTCCACCACTCTAGGGGCGACCATGGTCCACCACTCTAGGGGACGACCATGGTCCACCACTCTAGGGGGACGACCATGGTCCACCACTCTAGGGACCACTACTCTATGGACGACCATGGACCACCACTCTAGGGGGACGACCATGGTGCACCACTCTAGGGGGACGACCATGGTCCACCACTCTAGGGGGACGACCATGGTCCACCACTCTAGGGGGACGACCATGGTCCACCACTCTAGGGGGACGACCATGGTCCACCACTCTAGGGGGACGACCATGGTCCACCACTCTAGGGACCACTATGGACCACTACTCTATGGACGACCATGGTCCACCACTCTAGGGACCACTATGGACCACCACTCTAGGGGACGACCATGGTCCACCACTCTAGGGACGACCATGGTCCACCACTCTAGGGGGACGACCATGGTCCACCACTCTAGGGACCACTATGGACCACTACTCTATGGACGACCATGGACCACCACTCTAGGGGGACGACCATGGTCCACCACTCTAGGGGGACGACCATGGTCCACCACTCTAGGGACCACTATGGACCACTACTCTATGGACGACCATGGACCACCACTCTAGGGGGACGACCATGGTCCACCACTCTAGGGACGACCATGGTCCACCACTCTAGGGACGACCATGGTCCACCACTTTAGGGGGACGACCATGGACCACCACTCTAGGGGACGACCATGGTCCACCACTTTAGGGGGACGACCATGGACCACTACTAGGGACGACCATGGTCCACCACTCTAGGGGGACGACCATGGACCACCACTCTAGGGGACGACCATGGTCCACCACTTTAGGGGGACGACCATTGACCACCACTCTAGGGGGACGACCATTGACCACCACTCTAGGGGGACGACCATGGTCCACCACTCTAGGGGACGACCATGGTCCACCACTCTAGGGGACGACCATGGTCCACCACTCTAGGGGACGACCATGGTCCACCACTCTAGGGGACGACCATGGTCCACCACTTTAGGGGGACGACCATGGACCACCACTAGGGACGACCATGGACCACCACTTTAGGGGGACGACGATGGTCCACCACTCTAGGGACGACCACCAGTGGAGGGAGGGACTTGGTCAGTAGGGGAGGGAGGTCAAGGATGCTGCACCACCAGGATATGATGCTGCTTCACCACCTTGTTGCTCCAGATTGGTCCCTTCAGAGAGCGGGGGGAGGGAGAGAGCGGGGGAGGGAGAGAGCGGGGGAGGGAGAGAGCGGGGGAGGGAGGGATGGAGGGAGGGAGGGTTGGAGGGAGGGAGGGATGGAGGGAGGGGGGGATGGAAGGAGGTGGGAGAGGTAGAGATGAGAAGATACAGGCAGACACCATACACAGCTTCCAGTGTTGATATGGCAGCCACTGGAACCTGCTCTCCTCTCAGCTCCCCTTGCCTCTGCCCCCCGTCTCTCCCCCTCCTCCCCCCCGCCTCTCCCCCTCCCTCCCCCTCCTCCCCCTCCCTCCCCCTCCCCCCTCTCCCCCCTCCCCTCCCCCCTCCTCCCCCCCTCCCTCCCTCCCTCCCCCCCTCCCCCTCCTCCCCCCTCCCCCCCCCTCCCTCCCCCTCCTCCCCCTCCTCCCCCCCTCCCTCCCTCCCCCTCCTCCCCCCCTCCTCCCCCCCCTCCTCCCCCCCTCCTCCCCCCCTCCTCCCCCCCTCCTCCCCCCCTCCTCCCCCCCTCCTCCCCCCCCCCCCCCTCCCCCTCCTCCCCCCCTCTCCGTCGTTATCCTACCGGAAATAAACTCGGGTTCCGGCCGCCGCACATGTGCAACAGACAAATGAATTCGCCTCATCCGGGATTAATGGTCCTATGGAACGGCCCCGTCCTCGCCTCTCAGGCCCCGGGACAGGAAGGGAGGGGGGGGGAATGGAAGAGGGGGAGGGGGGGGGGGGAGGGAGAGAGGAAGGGAGAGGGGGAGGAGGGGGAAGGGAGAGGGGGAGAGCAAGAAATGGGATAACATTTGATATCAAAGAAAATATAATTAAGGGAGCGGCTTTGAAGGGAGGGGGAGAGATAGGGAGGACAACAAGGTACGGAGGATAGGAAGGGCGGGAGGGATAGAGAACTGGACAGGTGATGGACGCGCCTCCAGGATGGCCAGACCACACGGCATCAGTATACAAGTACCACGGGTCCGGCTCCTCGTGTGAGCCGGATATCAACACGAGTAATGCGGATTACCGTGAAATGGGTGTAGTGGTGTGTGTGTGTGTGTGTGTGTGTGTGTGTGTGTGTGTGTGTGTGTGTGTGGGCGGGTGTGTGTGTGTGTGTGTGTGTGGGCGGGTGTTGGGGGGAGTGGAGCATTCCCGCTGTGGGAGTGGGGCGTCTCATCTTGGGCCACCGGCTGTGGGAGTGGGGCGTCTCATCTTGGACCACCAGCTGTGGGATTGGGGCGTCTCATCTTGGACCACCAGCTGTGGGAGTGGGGCGTCTCATCTTGGGCCACCAGCTGTGGGAGTGGGGCGTCTCATCTTGGGCCACCAGCTGTGGGAGCGGGGCGTCTCATCTTGGGCCACCAGCTGTGGGAGTGGGGCGTCTCATCTTGGGCCACCAGCTGTGGGAGTGGGTCGTCTCATCTTGGGCCACCAGCTGTGGGAGTGGGTCGTCTCATCTTGGGCCACCAGCTGTGGGAGTGGGGCGTCTCATCTTGGGCCACCAGCTGTGGGAGTGGGGCGTCTCATCTTGGACCACCAGCTGTGGGAGTGGGGCGTCTCATCTTGGGCCACCAGCTGTGGGAATGGGGCGTCTCATCTTGGGTCACCAGCTGTGGGAGTGGGGCGTCTCATCTTGGGCCACCAGCTGTGGGAGTGGGGCGTCTCATCTTGGGCCACCAGCTGTGGGAGTGGGTCGTCTCATCTTGGACCACCAGCTGTGGGAGTGGGGCGTCTCATCTTGGACCACCAGCTGTGGGAGTGGGGCGTCTCATCTTGGGCCACCAGCTGTGGGAGTGGGTCGTCTCATCTTGGACCACCAGCTGTGGGAGTGGGGCGTTTCATCTTGGACCACCAGCTGTGGGAGTGGGGCGTTTCATCTTGGACCACCAGCTGTGGGAGTGGGGCGTCTCATCTTGGGCCACCAGCTGTGGGAGTGGGTCGTCTCATCTTGGACCACCAGCTGTGGGAGTGGGGCGTTTCATCTTGGACCACCAGCTGTGGGAGCGGGGCGTCTCATCTTGGAGTAATGTTTCTAACATTGGGTCCTCTAACATTAGGATGGTGTTCCACACCCTGATGGCTTGGTGCTGCAGTCTGATGTTTAGTGGCTGTGTGTTCAGGAGTTCCTGGAGCTCCTGGATTGTCTGGTCACATGGTGGACGGTGTTCGGCTGCTCTCTTAGTGCATTATTCCCCACTGCTTGTAGTTGTTGCATCTTAGTTTTCTCTAAGGTGTGTAGTGTTACTGGGGGATATTCTAGATGCGGCTGGACTAGAGCCATATATAAGGGAAGCTGTATGTTTGTGCTGAGGCTTCGGAATCTTCTCAGTTTTCCTAAGGGTGTTGTTGCTTTGTTTATGCTCTCATTTACGTGAATTTTTTATTCCTGCTCTGTTAATGCTGAGCCCCAGTACTCCCCCCCCCCCTAGTCATATATTGGAGAGGGCGGTTGTCATGGTTAATGAGGTCTGGGTCATCCTCGACAGTCGACCTGTGCAGTATATGAATGAAGGTGGAATACCGGGACTTAAGAGACCTGGAATCAAAATTCACGCGTCTTCTGTCACTTTCCTCCCTCCGTCCCTCCTTCCACACCCATTCTTTCCTCCCTCGGGGCAAGTCCCCCTTTCCTTCCCCCTTTCCACTCCAGGAGCATCTCGCCCCATTTTGAGAAGCAGCATGTGACCCATGTCTCTCCTCCACAGAGAAGCAGCATCTCCCCCAGCGCAGGAGACAAGTACCGAGGGCGCTCACCGGAGCCAGAACCTAAGAAGATAAAGAGAGAAGATGGCCATGTAAGTTACCTTGGAATTGCTCCTAGTACCTTGTACCTTGAACCTGCGGGTAAGAACAGCTTTGGCCTTAATTCCATAGAAATCCTTGATCATCTTCCTGCCTTATTTATGAGCGTTCACTGCTGTGTTCCTAAGACTGTCTTGACAGCTTTCTGATGATCCACTTGTAGCTGTCTTCCCGTAGCCTAGTCTTGGGCCCTGTGTCTTTCCTAGTGACGAGGCCCCCAAGAGGGGGCCTCGTAGCCTGGTGGATAGCGCGCAGGACTCGTAATTCTGTGGCGCGGGTTCGATTCCCACACGAGGCAGAAACAAATGGGCAAAGTTTCTTTCACCCTGAATGCCCCTGTTACCTAGCAGTAAATAGGTACTTGGGAGTTAGTCAGCTGTCACGGGCTGCTTCCTGGGGGTGGAGGCATGGTCGAGGACCGGGCCGCGGGGACACTAAAGCCCCGAAATCATCTCAAGATAGTGTCTTAAACCCTTCCTTGCTTTGCCCTCGGTAAGTTTTTGTCCCAGTTACATGTCCACAGCTTTACCTACCTCGTCCCAATTACCTAACCAGAGCGTTACGTAGCGTCAATTTTCGATACGTACACAGAGGGCAACAAAGAAATTAGTGTAATACTAAGAAGCCAGTATGAGGCTATGTTTAGCACACCAATAAAAAACATGAAAGTTGAAGATGCAGACAGCTTCTTTATGAATGACATTCAAGCTGCAGATAATATAACTGATGTTAACATGAACCCAGCAGACTTTGAAAGATAAATTTGACTACATGCCCATGCACTCAGCCCCCTGGTCGAGTGCAATATTGAACTCGTGGAATTCAATATTCATAAAGAAATGAAAAGTACCAGTAGCGCGAACACTCAGTGTAATATGGAGAAAGAGCCTGGATACAGGGGAGATACCAGCAGCATTTAAATCAGTAGATATAGTTCCTCTGCACAAGGGAGGTAGTAAAGCTTTTAAAAATTTTCATTCTCCTTTACAAGTCTTCTTCCCTGCCCAGCTGTCATTACCTTGCATGTATCTGGGTTGACATCCATTCTTTAACTATTGCATCAGGAAACATATATTAGCAAACTTTCTCATTCATATCATTTGCAGATATCAGCAGTAGTATATGACTTAGTAATGACCATTGTGGTACAATGAACTCCCAGCATTATAAACACGCTTCCCCTGTCCCCTCTGTTTCAATTCAGATAGGTACTGTCTCATCCAATTTAGCAACCTCCCGTGTACCTGTGCTTGCTTCTCGAGTTTGTGAAGCATTGTCTTGCATAGAACTGTGCAGGATGCAATTGAATCCATCAATCAGATTCAATCAATCAATCAATTGGAAGATTCAATCTGCTAATCCCTCTATTCCCATTATTTATCACTCTTGCCTCCTCATATATACCCGTATAGATTCGTTAAACAGGACTTCTTAGAAGGCAAGTTTGACCGAGGGATGGCGAGTGGTGAATTGGCATCCTATAAGGGTACAGGAAAGGAAATTTGATTCTTGATGCTTTCATCTCTAGCTTTTCTAAGTCCTTCCTAACTTCACATGTTGCCACATCTGTTTTGGGTAGTTGGGTAGTTTCCCTTGTACTTTGTGGTAGTTCCACGTCATTTTCTGTAATAACCCGGTCTCTGTGACTTGGCCTCCACCGTCTTTTCCATAACCCCTTTGCTCACTAGTTTTGCATTAATGCCGACTCCACTTCGAACGATTGACCCATTTTCTTGTCCTTTTTCTCAGAGTGTTGGTTTATCTTCCATTAACTTTCCAACATTTGATGACAGTTCCTTTTTTTCCTTTTTTTCTTGTAACGGGGTTTTTCCAATTCTCTCTTCTATCTAGTTCCAGGAATTCTCTTAATTTCATCATAATCCTCACTCCTGTAGTTTTTGCCGCCTCCTCCATCCCAGACCTGGACATTGTTGCTTGTATCTTCACATTGTTCATGCTTGTATCTTCTCATTGTATCTGCTTGTATTTGCTTGTATCTTCTCATTGTATCTGCTTGTATCTGCTGTAAGTAAATCCAAGGTCCAGCCTTCCTGGTGTATGTCTTCCCTCGTGTGTCATCCTTGACAGGTTGGGTTAGGGTATGAAGGGGATTTCCAATACCTCTTATTCTCATTCCCAGTGTTATAATCCTCATGGTTGACTGGTGCGTATCGGTAATCTTCACTTCACACCCGTGTTATGCCGCCTTTGAGTCCATTCATTCGTTGATAGTTGGTATTCCTTGGGTAACCTCGAGTTATCATTTATGAGACTTTAAGACTCCAGTTCGGTTGTTATATCTGATTTGTTTCCTTTATTCTTTCCTTCATCTCATTTAATTTGTTAGATATTCCATCAGTATTTGTGTATCACGCTTTTGCTTCTTTTTTTTCTCGCCTGTTTTTGTCATTTCATATTTATTATATAATCCCTTACCTGTGTGTGTACTCACCTGTGTGTGTGTGTGTTTTTACAGCCAATTTATTTTAAATAGATTTAATGTTATAAATAATCAAAATGTACAATATGATGATGCCACTTACACTTGTATTAGAGTTTTACGAGGCAAATCTACATGTGGCCACGATGGCAATTTTACAAGTTCCGTTGAGCGAGTGATTGACAGAGGAAGTATATGAATATCTTATTGAATCAAGATCATGATGAAAGTTTGGAGCAATACAGCCAGAGGTGAGAATTCGATCCTACTGTATAGCTCCAGAGTTTTGTGAGGTACATCATGCAATGGTGATATTGGTTTGCAGTGAAGGTTATGAATCATGCAATGGTGATATTGGTTTGCAGTGAAGGTTATGAATCATGCAATGGTGATATTGGTTTGCAGTGAAGGTTATGAATCATGCAATGGTGATATTGGTTTGCAGTGAAGGTTATGAATCATGCAATGGTGATATTGGTTTGCAGTGAAGGTTATGAATCATGCAATGGTGATATTGGTTTGCAGTGAAGGTTATGAATCATGCAATGGTGATATTGGTTTGCAGTGAAGGTTATGAATCATGCAATGGTGATATTGGTTTGCAGTGAAGGTTATGATTTATGTTAGACAATAACGTAAATCACTAGGGGGGGGGGCACTCGGGAATCCGGACATATGCCTTTATAACTTTGGGCAGCAGTTAAATTGTTGTAATTAAACTGGGGATAAAACTACCAACCCTGCATTGTGCATCATTTGACGGTAATATTGCTGAAACTTGAGGTTCGTTTGAAGCGGACCATCAGGAGAAAGCACCAAGCCATTACGGTTATATAGGGCAAGAGGGTCATTTGAAGGGTTCGTGTTACGGTCAGTGAAGAGGCCGGTAGTGTGGAATCCGTTTTCTTTAGTGGGTGGGTACCATTTTCTTTAGTACATCGTTGATAAGTTTTCTTTAATATAGTTTTTTTCTGATTTGTCTGGTTCTATGAGGTATTTTATTAATAAAGGAACCATTTTTTGTTCAACTGGGTTCATCTGTTTTCATTAAGCTTGAGTAGTTTTCAAATTGGACTTATTTTGTTCTCTTAATATCTACAGGAAATTTGAGCTTCTAATAGGAGGCCATTTGCTTAGCGACAATACGGCTGGTATTGGTAGGACTAAGTAGTCTCCCCTTGACACCTTGTCCATTTTCTTCACCCATGATGAGACCACGAGTCCGTTTTCTTTAGTTGCACTTAAAAAAAGGTTCTCTGCCGTTTTCTTTCATTTTTAATGGGTGATAATTTTAATTTTTATTTTTGTTTTTTGTTTTGATGTGGCCTTTTTTATCTGTTGCAGGATAGAGATGGGGAAAAGAGCGAGCAGGAGTTGGTAGTGGACGATCCCCAGGTTGGTTGAGTTCCCAGGGTGGTGGGTGGTTTGGTGGACGGGGGGGGGGGAGGGGTGTGAATGGTATATGGATAGTTGGGATGGAACGGAAGGATGGTTAGGATGGGCAGTAGATGGAAGGGTTTGTTGTGTCTTTGTGTTCTATGTGCCTGTTTGTGTTGGAGGATTTTGACTAGATTTTTCTGGTCATTTTCTGGTCAGTCATTGGTTTGTGGTGGATGGTTCTCAGCCTCTGTGGTGGAGACAGGACCAGTAGCGAGAGCACTCAGCGTAGTGTGGAGAAAGACAATCGACAATCGACAATCAATCAATTGACAATCGACTTGAGAATGGTCCAGGACGGACCGAAACGTCGTCGTCCCTTCAACTTTTAGTGTGTGGTCTGGTCAAGGTGGAGAAAGAGCCTAGATACAGGGGAGACACCAGCAACACTTAAATCTGCAGATATAGCTCCTCTGTACAAGGGGGGGGGAGTAAAGCCTTGGCCAAAAATTATAGGCCAGTTGCACTAACATCACACATGATAAAAGATTTTGAAAGAGTGATTAGGAATCAAATTTCTAATTTTATGGAAAATAATGAGTTGCACAACCCAGGACAACATGGACTTAGAGCGGGAAGATCCTGTCTGTCACAGTTACTCACCACTATGACAAAGTCACAGAAGCTCTAGGGGAAAAGCAAAATGCAGATGTGGTATACACAGACTTTGCAAAGGCGTTCGACAAATGTGACCATGGGGTGATAGCTCACAGAATGAGGTCAATGGGAATAACTGGTAAAGTAGGACGCTGGATACTCAATTTTCTGTCGAACAGAACACAAAGAGTAACAGTCAATCAGATAAAATGGAGTCCAAGCGCAGTTAGTGGTGCACCTTGCAGCACTGCTGTTCCCTATTCTCATATCAAATATAGATAAAAATACAAGTCACAGCTTCGTGTCATCCTTTGCAGATGACACAAAAATCAGCATGAAAATTACCTCTGCTGAAGACATGGAAAAATTACAAGCAGATATCAACAAAGTTTTCGATTGGGCAGCAGAAAATAACATGATGTTTAACAGCGATAAATTTCAGGTACTCAGATACGGCAAAAATGAGGATCTGAAACATCATACAGGGTACAAAACACAATCGAATCTGCCCATAGTAGAAAAACAGCATGTCAAGGATTTGGGAATAATGATGTCCGACGACCTAACGTTTAGGGAGCATAACCAAGCAAATATTGCGTCAGCCAGAAAAATGATCGGATGGATTACGAGAGCTTTCAAATCCAGGGATCCCATCACAATGGTTGTACTCTTCAAGTCACTTGTGTTGTCCCGTCTTGAGTACTGCTCAGTACTCACTTCCCCCCTTCAGAGCAGGAGAGATTGCTGAAATAGAGGGAATACAGAGAACATAGACGAACGGCACGCATAGACGAGATAAAACACCTAAATTATTGGGATCGTCTCAAAGCTCTCCAAATGTACTCTCTAGAAAGGAGACGAGAGATATACCAAATAATATACACCTGGAAAATTCTAGAGGACCAGGTCCCTAACCTACACGGTAAAATAACAACGTACTGGAGTGAACGATATGGAAGAAAATGCAGAATAGAACCAGTGAAGAGCAGAGGTGCCATAGGCACAATCAGAGAACACTGTATAAACATCAGAGGTCCGCGGTTGTTCAACGCCCTCCCAGCGAGCATAAGAAATATTGCCGGAACAACCGTGGACATTTTCAAGAGAAAACTAGATAAGTTCCACCAAGGAGTGCCGGACCAACCGGGCTGTGGTGGGCCTGCGGGGTTCTCCAAGCAACAGCCTGGTGGACCAAACTCTCACAAGTCAAGCCTGGGCTCGGGCCGGGCTTGGGGAGTAGAAGAACTCCCAGAACCCCATCAAGCAGGTATCGACCAGAGATGCTAGCCTGGAGCCTGGAGGATGTGTCTCAGCCTCTGTGGGAGGGAGGTTCTGTACCACACAGCAGGAGACTTCAAGATGATACCATCCCTGGAAACACAAACCGAAACTGTCTCTATTTTCCGCTTGTTATAACGTGTAATAAAGTTGTTACATCTTGGCTTAACGTGTTTATGACGTATTAGAACGTTGTTACAACTTGCTATATTGGTTGTTATAACGGTTAGGAGGTTTTAAAACTTGTTCGAACGTTGTACCAACGTCGTAGTTTCGGTGTGTGTTTGGCGGGAATAAGGTCTTCGACTGAGCAACGAAAAACAGCATCATGTGTAATAGATAAATTCCTGGTAGACGAGATCAAGATTAAACACTTGAACGACACGCAGGATGGTTACCTTGCGATGATTTCGGGGCTCAACGTCTCTGCGGCCCGGTCGTCGACCAGGGCGCCTCCTACAGGGAAGACAGAACATATATACAAGAGTTCTTACATTCTTGTACAGCCACGAGCTGTACTAGTGTCAGTCTCCTCCCAGCAAACACGAGAAATATTGTCAGTACAAAACTAGTTATAAATTGGCCAGAATGCTGCACGGGGTGCCGGACCAAGCAAGTTGTAGGGGGGAGTCGAACCCGCTACAGGTATACTCCAGCCATAGGAAGGTTCCCGTTGATAGAGGGCTTTCCAGGTTAGGTTGAATAAAGTGTTAGGTTATGTTGAATAAAGTGTTAGTTAGGTTAGATTGAATCATAGTTAGGTTAGGTCACCTGGGGTAGTTAGAAGTGGGTGGAGGGCCGGGCGGGAGGGTCTAACAATATGTAAACTCCCACGACCTTCAGCACACAGGCCTCTAATTGTAGTTAAACACGTTATGACTCGTCACTCGATCCCCGGGTGGCTTAGTTATCGTGGCGAGGGGGGGGGGGAGACCAGCCCCCGGGTGGCTTGGTTATCGTGGCGAGGAAGGGGAGAACAGCCCCGGGTGGCTTGGTTATCGTGGTGAAGGGAGGGGGAGTCCAGCCCCCGGGTGGCTTGGTTATCGTGGCGAGGAAGGGGAGAACAGCCCCGGGTGGCTTGGTTATCGTGGTGAGGGGGAGGAAACAGCCCCGGGTGGCTTAGTTATCGTGGCGAGGGGGGGAAGAGCCCCGAGTGGCTTGGTTATCGTGGCGAGGAAGGGGAAAACAGCCCCGGGTGGCTTGGTTATCGTGGCGAGGAAGGGGAGAACAGCCCCAGGTGGCTTGGTTATCGTGGCGAGGAAGGGGTTGAACAGCCCCGGGTGGCCTGGTTATCGTGGCGAGGAAGGGGTTGAACAGCCCCGGGTGGCCTGGTTATCGTGGCGAGGAAGGGGGGGAACAGCCCTGGGTGGCTTGGTTATCGTGGCGAGGGGGGGTTCAGCCCCGGGTGGCTTGGTTATCGTGGCGAGGAAGGGGGGGAACAGCCCTGGGTGGCTTGGTTATCGTGTCGAGGAAGGGGGGAAGAGCCCCGGGTGGCCTGGTTATCGTGGCGAGGAAGGGGGGAAGAGCCCCGGGTGGCCTGGTTATCGTGGCGAGGAAGGGGGGAAGAGCCCCGGGTGGCTTGGTTATCGTGGCGAGGAAGGGGGGAACAGCCCCGGGTGGCTTGGTTATCGTGGCGAGGGGGGGTTCAGCCCCGGGTGGCTTGGTTATCGTGGCGAGGAAGGGGTTGAACAGCCCCGGGTGGCCTGGTTATCGTGGCGAGGAAGGAGGGGAAGAGCCCCGGGTGGCCTGGTTATCGTGGCGAGGAAGGAGGGGAAGAGCCCCGGGTGGCCTGGTTATCGTGGCGAGGAGGGGGGAAGAGCCCCGGGTGGCCTGGTTATCGTGGCGAGGAAGGAGGGGAAGAGCCCCGGGTGGCCTGGTTATCGTGGCGAGGAAGGGGGGAAGAGCCCCGGGTGGCCTGGTTATCGTGGCGAGGAAGGGGTGAAGAGCCCCGGGTGGCCTGGTTATCGTGGCGAGGAAGGGGTGAAGAGCCCCGGGTGGCTTGGTTATCGTGGCGAGGAAGGGGGGGGGGAAGAGCCCCGGGTGGCCTGGTTATATATATACAGGAGCATGTGCAGCTAAGGAAGGTGCACAAGTTGCTGCAACTGTTGTAGGATCTTCAAGTTCAAGTTTGTTTATCGAGGCAAGAAAGAAATATATCTCAACGGGATAGAGTACCTTGGGCTATTTCCACCCCCGTGTAGGGTCATAAGTGTCGTGTAGCCGGTCGGAGGGAGCTGGTCGGCCGAGCGGACAGCACACTGGACTTGTGGTTCTGTGGTCCCGGGTTCGATCCCGGGCGTCGGTGAGAAACAATGGGCAGTTTTTTTTTCACCCTATGCCCCTGTTACCTAGCAGTAAAATAGGTACCTGGGTGTTAGTCAGCTGTCACGGGCTGCTTCCTGGGGGTTGGAGGCCTGGTCGAGTACTGGGCCGCGGGGACATTAAAGCCCCAAAAACATCTCAAGATAGCCACAGTTTTGAATTTATTATTATTATTATTAACATCTTTATTGACAAAATTAATTACAATTTTGCCTAATCTGAGGATTTTGATAGTCTTATTAAATTGAGGATAATGCTAGTATTCACTTTTGAACTGTGAGCGTTGAGGAGTGGTGGAGCTGAGAGAGTTTAGGATACACAGCCGCACGAGACCAGTTCTCTGCACCACCAATCAACTCAATAATGCAGCAAAACAAATAAAACTACTAAAAAAGGATTTTCGTAAAAACAAAAAAACAAAACTATAATAATAAAATTCGTCACTTTTCTGAGAAGGCCTCGCGCCGTCCCGCTCTGCCTCGGGGAACCTTTCGTGGCACTAGACAAGTGCCAACACGGACTTATACAGTGAAGTGTAAGTGCAGCCTCCCGAGGCAGTCCTTCTTTAACAGTGCCTAATCAGAATATTAATATTAACACTGCACTTGGACAGTGTCGTGTGTCACAATCTTAGCAGTCTCCGTGGTGTAGTGGTAAGACACTCGCCTGGCGTTCCGCGAGCGCTATGTCATGGGTTCGTATCCTGGCCGGGAGGATTTACTGGGCGCAATTCCTTAACTGTAGCCTCTGTTTAACGCAACAGTAAAATGTGTACTTGGATGAAAAAACGATTCTTCGCGGCAGGGGATCGTATTCCAGGGACCATAGGATTAAGGACCTGCCCGAAACGCTACGCGTACTAGTGGCTCTACAAGAATGTAACAACTCTTGTATATATCTCAAAAAAAAAAAAAATATTCATTTTGTTTTGCTTTTTGAACAGTGATAAATTTTGTCATTGGCAAGTATCTGGCGAGTTGTATAGACGGTTTCTGGTGTTGTGACGTGGTATTGGATACTCTTGGGGGCTCCAGAGGAACACGAGCCATCCCGCCCACCACCACCTGCTTCACTAGTGGGTCTCTTCAGGAAGGGAATTGTCAGGGGGAAAGCGCCAAGCCATTACGACTATATAGCACTGGGAAGGGGTCAGGATAAGGATTGGGATGGAACGGCGGGGAAGGAATGGGTGCCCAACCACTTGGACGGTTGGGGATTGAACGCCGACCTGCATGAAGCGAGACCGTCGCTCTAGTCCAGCCCAAGTGGTCTTCAGGAGTGCGAGAGGGTCTGAAGGGCACAGCTGCCTCAGGCAGGAGTCTGGCCACGGTGGTAGTGGTGGAAGGGGGTGGCTGGGGGAGTGAGGGGCGCGGCAACCCCTCCCTGCGTAGACACGTCCGCGGGGACGGTTTATGCTGTAGGTGAGCCAGTGCTCCTGGCGGGATCTGTTGGACGCCAGTTAGGCGCCATACACATGGGGTGACCCAATACCCTCTTATGATGGCCGGCGCTAAGCTAAACAACTTAATAGGTATCAACAAAGTTGTCAGCAGATTTGAATGTAGCTCTGCGCCTGCAGCCCTCAGACCTTCAGAGACAGCCAGGGCCACGGAGCGTCTACACACGCTCCCTCACACTCTCTAGCTTCTAGATCCTGGCCCGTGTACAAGATATATATTTTTTATAATAAAACTAAGGAAAAGCAGTGGACGTTTGGTACTCCAATTCCTGCCCACTACCGAGTAACCTTCGACCATCCCCGGGCAACAACAACCCAACATCAACCGATGTTTCAGACCTCCCGCGGCCACGACACCGGCCACTGGTCGTGGTGGGCCTGCTGGTGGGAGAGCCAGGGGCCAGATTCACGAAAGCACTTACGCAAGCACTTACGAACCTGTACATCTTTTCTCAATCTTTGGCGGCTTTGTTTACAATTATTAAACAGTTAATGAGCTCCGAAGCACCAGGAGGCTGTTTATAACAATAACAACAGTTGATTGGCAAGTTTTCATGCTTGTAAACTGTTTAATAAATGTAACCAAAGCCGTCAAAGATTGAGGAAAGATGTACACGTTCGTAAGTGCTTGCGTAACTGCTTTCGTGAATCTGGCCCCAGGCCACCGGGGCCGGGGCGGCCACCGAGTACAGCACACTCAGCACCCCGATGGGAACCATGAACCGCTGCAGCTTGTCGGTGTTATCCTACATGATGGTTGGGCTCCTGACTAGGGAGACGAAGCCCGGTACCATCACCAGGTACAAGACGAGGAGGCGCCACCACCACTGAAGCGCCTGCACCTCCCCTCAAGCACACTCCGGGCATCACGTCTCCTTCAACAGTGTCAGCGACGCACCTCCGCCAGACAGGCGGCGACGGTGAAGGAGGCGAGGCAGCCGAACCTCCCTCCCAGGGCCTCAGGAACCCTCAGATCGTCCCCGTTGAAGAACTTGCCATTGTTGCCGGGCGCGGCACAGTCGTCTGCCCCCCCCCCCCCATAGCTCGTACTCGTGCTGCTAGGTACTGTGAACTGTGCAGAGGGAGAGAAGGGCGGCTACACGGGGGACAAGCTCACATTGTATACATTAATTTATTCTAAGTATAATATATAAATAATTGTTGACTGTGTGAGAGAGAGAATGTGCGAGTGAGTGAACCAATTAAATTTAAGAGATACTTGACAAATGTGTGTGTGTGTATTGGTAGTTAGCGGGTTGTTAAGAGTGGAGAAGTAACCTCGTTGTGTTGGTACAGGACTCTGTGAGCCCGGCGGTCAACGGTACCACCTCCCCGCGGGAGAACGGCGTCTCTAAGAAGACGCCGCCTCTTGGCTCCGTCAGGTGAGTACCTCACTGCTACTGCTGCCGCCTCCTGCTGCCTCTCCTCCTTGTACCTCCCTCCACCTTCCTTGTACCCCCCTCCACCCTCCTTGTACCCCCCCTCCACCTTCCTTGTACCTCCCTCCACCCTCCTTGTACCCCTCCTCCACCCTCCTTGTACCCCCTCCACCCTCCTTGTACCTCCCTCCACCCTCCTTGTACCCCCCCCTCCACCCTCCTTGTACCCCCCTCCACCCTCCTTGTACCCCCCCCCCCTCCACCCTCCTTGTACCCCCCCTCCACCCTCCTTGTACCCCCCCCCCTCCACCCTCCTTGTACCCCCCCCTCCACCCTCCTTGTACCCCCCTCCACCCTCCTTGTACCCCCCCTCCACCCTCCTTGTACCCCCCCTCCACCCTCCTTGTACCCCCCCCCCCCTCCACCCTCCTTGTACCCCCCCCCCTCCACCCTCCTTGTACCCCCCCCCTCCACCCTCCTTGTACCCCCCCCTCCACCCTCCTTGTACCCCCCCCTCCACCCTCCTTGTACCCCCCCTCCACCCTCCTTGTACCCCCCTCCACCCTCCTTGTACCCCCCCCTCCACCCTCCTTGTACCCCCCTCCACCCTCCTTGTACCCCCCCTCCACCCTTCTTGTACCCCCCTCCACCCTCCTTGTACCCCCCCCCCTCCACCCTCCTTGTACCCCCCTCCACCCTCCTTGTACCCCCCCTCCACCCTCCTTGTACCCCCCCTCCACCCTCCTTGTACCCCCCTCCACCCTCCTTGTACCCCCCCCCTCCACCCTCCTTGTACCCCCCCTCCACCCTCCTTGTACCCCCCCTCCACCCTCCTTGTACCCCCCTCCACCCTCCTTGTACCCCCCCTCCACCCTCCTTGTACCCCCCCCTCCACCCTCCTTGTACCCCCCCTCCACCCTCCTTGTACCCCCCTCCACCCTCCTTGTACCCCCCCCCCCTCCACCCTCCTTGTACCCCCCCTCCACCCTCCTTGTACCCCCCTCCACCCTCCTTGTACCCCACCTCCACCCTCCGTGTACCCCCCCTCCACCCTCCTTGTACCTTGTATAATGTTATAAGTACTGTTAAGGAAGGTTTATGAGCGTGTCCATACTGGTGTGATATAGTGCGTTAGTTAGGGCGTCACGTGGGGTGTAGCGGGTCACTGAGTGCAGCTACTGTTGGCGTGTTAGCACTGTGCGGCTAGTGTAGTAACCTGGTGTTGTGTCCCCCAGCCCCAGGAGCTCTGGCAGTTCGTCCTCCACGCCCCAGGCCAGGAAGGAGGACAAGCCCGCCACGCCCAATTCCAAAGCGCCCACGCCCACCTCCTCTGGCGCCAGCGCGGTCAAGCCCGTGGGCAAGGCGGCGCCATTACCTGGCGTCGGGTCCTACCCTCCGGGGTATCCTCTACCTGAAGCCGCCGCCGCTGCCGCCGCTGCTGCCGCTGCCGCCGCCGCCGCTGCCGCAGCCGCCGCCGCAGGATCCGGAGCGCCCTACCCATACCCGAGGCCGCCCGCGCATCCGCAAGCCGCCCCGCCCTCGTCCCTGGACATGCATGGACGTACTGCCTCTCTGCACGCCCTCCAGGGCGGGAAGCCGTGAGTACCTCCCACTTGCCTCCTGACTCGTGACATAGTGCCAAACAGTGCCTCTCAGTGACCAGTGCCTCAGTGACACAGTGCAATATTATCAGTGACCAGGAGCTCAAAGGATTGTACAGTCGTGGATATCATAGTTTGCCCATTTTTGCATTCATATTCTTGCC